TCAAGTCCCTATCTCGCAGACACGTCCGTTAGATAGTGACTTCTAGGGCTATGTTACGTACCGCTCAGATGATGCAGATGATGCAAAGCAGAAAATTGCATTTCTTGCATCCCTAAAGGCTTCAAGATAGCAAACATTAGCACGAATTTATCTTCCAGCACTTTAAGCCGGTTCCAAAAACGTGAAAAACACAGGATTCTAGAGCGAAAATGCCCCCCCCCCCCTAGCTAAAGCTATCAGTACTACTTGCGGTGCTTGCGGTGTAACGCGTGCCCTATAAAACGCCTCAGCACCTTCGGTGCGGGCGGATTTGTGGAAGCCTGAACTACCTTCAGTCTCCTTCGATATCACACTGTCTGGTCGACAGAGGCGAGGCGAACGTGCGAACGGGACTGAAGGATGTTGGCGACTGAAGGTGGCCACATGAGAATGGCGGCACTCATCTGTGTGTGGAGAAAACAAGTAAGATCCAGAACCATCCAGAATGTTGGGATATTTTGGGTGTTTCATTGTCCTTCTGAATTACAAGGGGGGGTTGGGATGGCATCCTAGTGAGCCACAGCCAATTGTTAAATACTGACTTTTTGTTCAGAATTTTCAAAACTAGAATCAGGACTGTTGGATAATGCTGGATGATGGGGCGACCACCATTGACGAGTCGTTTGGCTTTGTCTCAGGCTGCTCGCTCCATGATGGGCGCCACGACCGCCAACGAACTGGCTGAGATTTGTGCAGGCGAAGTGAGAGCCAAAGAACATTGTTCTTAGGATTCCAATTCGGTATTTATCAAGGGGAAGGGCAATGTAGGTGTGGGCAACTTGGGGATCAGTGTTGTTTTGCAATGGGTGTGTTTAAAGTCTTTGAGGGTGCCACATCTGGGGTTTCTTGGTTGTGCTGTATTCCAGCTCAAACTTCCGTGAACCAGCATATATTGGTCACTGCAGCCCCGGAATGGTGGAGAAAAAAAACACCCCCGAAGACGCGTTCCGAGAGGCGTTGCCTTGTCGGGAGAGCTCAGCTTCTACGCCTCCATGGAGACAGGCGCCGCACGACTGTGCACAGTTGGGACCATGACGAACTCGTGACTCGGTGATTTTTGTTGAAAGAAGTGTTGAGCAGCGCCATGGCCATAAACTCCTGTGTAAATGTTTAGTAAGAGGGTTACATAGGTTTCATTGTTAGTATAAAGGCTTAGGATAGAGGTTTTTGGTATGGCTCTGATGTCAGCTTGTTTGCGTGGCCTGTTTTGATACAGTCCGTGTCTCTTGCGGATCGACTGCGCCTAAAAGCTGCCAGGTACCTTTGCGGCAGCTCATTGGAACATGACCCATAAGTGAGGTCACGGCTCGATGTTTGGAACATTCAGCATTTTCTTGAACAGGATATGATATGATTTACAACTATATAGTTTAATTCAATGAACACACAAATTAGACAAGTATACGCATTGTCAGGTGCCCCTTTTTTTGCGAAGCACCTCACATATAGTTTACAGGTTTGCATGCCTGACTATGATGAGTTAAGATAACTCAGTGCAGAAAGGGCACGCGAGCAGTGAAAACTGGTCGCATCTCCACAGGTGAGACCGCAGAGTCAGTGAACAGAGACCGCAGAGTCAGTGCTGGAAGAAGGTGGTAGAAGGTCGTACCTAGGCTAGACGCAATTGTCCTGCACACCGGGTGGAGATGAACCTGAGATATGACTCTAGGCACATGTTCGGGGTATGTGCCGGACATGCTATTTTGCCCACCAGTGGCAGTTGCCCAGGATACACTGAAGGATGAACCAGCATGAGGACTGATTAAACGATATTCAAGGTTGAATGATGCAAACTCTGGGTTGCCATAGTTTCGGCCTCGCACGTGCATGACACCTCGTCATTGCACATGTACAGCCTTGCATATTTTGGTTTCAGGCTCCTTCTAAGGAAAGTCGCATTCGCAGACTAAGCTTTGAAGGAACGCTTCAGCTATGCAGCGAGATGGCATTGTGGTCGTTGTAGATCTGCTGACTCTCTCGTTTGTCGCCCACAGGAAAAGGCAGAACCTGCAGCTTATTGGCAAAAACAACTGGCTCCAGGTGTTTTTGTCTCTTGCATGCAGGCATTTGCAGGCCATGCAAGAATACCATTCCCAGATTTCCCAACCCCCCCACGAAGCGTCGATGTCAATCCAACTGACATTTCCCAGGACCTGTCATATAGATCCGTTCAATTCTCTCGGATATTAGCTGCTCCCTGGCCCATCAGTCCACCCGACACCGAACCCTGCACTGTCCAGTCCGCATCACCAGGCCAAAGTGGCTGCAGGATCCATCCAAAAGTCACAAGCCACATGACCCCTTTAACCTGATTCGATCTCTTCCTGGGGCCCTCGTCTTTAGATTGCTGGATTGCTTGGCGCAGTCTGGGTCCAAGACCAAGACCAAAACAACAATAAAAATAGTCATCAACCAGAATACGAAATAATAAAGATCTATCTCCTGGGACCCACCAGCAAGTCGACTCGACTCCATACGCAGTCCCCACACCGCACCAGGGCCCTGCACCGTGGAGTGGCGCGCCGCGCGCCGCGCGGCCCGCGTGGCCGCTCCGGCGAAAACGCCGCGGGTGGCGCCGGGGAGCTGAGGAAGAGGCGGAGATTTGGCAGGTCAAGAACCTCTCTAAGCAGAAGGGGTCTAAAGAGAAAGGGGTATAACTATTTGTGAGGTATGCATCACTTCTACTCAAAGAGTTCAGTTTTGGACTCCAAGAGTTTTGAGGAAAGAGTGGGGATGGACTTGAGAATGTCGAAGACCCAACCATGCGATCCATTGCGAGTCCCACCGGGCACAATCGGGCAGTCTATTTCTTTACGCGGGTTGGGGCGCACAGGCATGGATGCGGCTGCGAATGACGGAATCATATGGGATCATTGTATTCTGTATTCCGTTCAATCCGATAGATGGACGAGATGTGAGGAGACTTTGGATTAGGATGAATGCATGTTGGAGGCCATCGCTACTAGGGTGGAGGCCATCGCTATTAGGCTCCTTTTGTTTCTATAGGTTGGAGGCCATCGCTACTATAGTAACAAGATGGTCAGTCATGAGTCATGTCCATGTCATTCCAGGACCTCTTTTAGGATCACCTGACTGACCCTCAGCACCTCCAAGGCTTTGCCTCCTTGGAGTGCCCCGCTTCTTCGATGCCACCGCACAGCTCTTCAGGCGGTTTCTGCCGCACAGCGGCAGAGTTCGTCCGTTCGGATCAAACATGGAAGCTCCCCACCGAAGGAAGGTATGGAGGGATTATGAAGGTCTCAATACCCAGACACTCCATGGGACTGGCATATATATTATATATGCCTATACATTGGGGTGCTTTGAGGGGTCAATGGGGCGGCATGGCATATATGGCAGTCCCATGGATCGTCGTGTCTGGGATATGTTCATGACATGTTGGGGTGATTGTAGTATGATGTAGTATACATATGTTGCGTGCTTTTCCGGTCATTATCCACCCACTTCACCTGGCATACCATCCACATCCGATTCCTCGCGGTGAAACCCCCGGACTCTCCGCAGGCTGAACTTCCTGGATCGCATTGAGGAGACCTGGCCTTGGATGCTGAAGGTGTTAACTGTCCTACGTCCAGTTCACCTCGGCCAGTTCACCCGGTATTGAAGGGGATGCCTAGCTGGCCTAGCACAGTTTGATACAAAGTGCTTCTGCCAAAAAGCATGGGCAGGTGTTTCTAGCATATGTTCGTCACTAGTTAACTCACACCGAAAACCATCAGGATGTGGTGTTTGTCCTGCTTTCTTGTCTTGTAGCTGGTGTTTGCTTGCTATCTAACCAGCCTATCAGACGTCATACAGCACTGCTATGCACAGACAGACTGTCTGCTTTCAAGGCCCTGGGACCTCTTCGCTTTTGCCACGGCAAGTCGTCGACCGACCAAAGCCACTTGTTTCGAAGCTCAGTTCTTGCAACTGTCGACAGTTCGGAGAGTGAAGGTCTTCGTTTCGCTACAGGTTGATAGATGACATAGACGTACTCGTACTATTGAAAAGACTGTGTGTGTGTAAGTGTTTTTAGATATCTTCCAGTTGCTTCTCATTCAACTTGCATGCATTCTAGTGACACCAGTGAGGAGCTTTGGAACTCGCCATTCGGGTCGGGCCGTGGTGTGGAGAGCGAGCCCGACCCGGCTCTTCCCAGAGGTCCTCGGTTCCACCGTTTCTTGGAGCTGGAAGATGGAGACAAAGGCCCAACCGGCCACGACCGGCCGTGTGTTGAAAGGACTGATCAAAGGGCGCCATGCATGAATAGACAGAGGCACCCGGGCTTCACATCCTTGTTCGCAGTTCAAAGATTGTTCAACTCACCAAAGGCAGATCAGGTGTTATCTAAACTTATACAGACCAGGTTTGCCATGCGAAAACGAAACCTCAAGCTGTCCAGAATCTCTTCCCTCTGCTCTACTGGCTGCTGCGCCGTCCAAGGCCACGCGTGCGGACTTGACTCGACACGGAGCGGACATCGCTCGGGTGACATCAGACGTCCAGTTGAGGGTAGGGTGACATCAGACATGTCACATGTGTGAGGGTAGGGTACGTACCCCCTCCAGAGCCAGATGTTTCGCGTTCGCCTCCCAGAAATGGAGCCTCCATGTGTCAGGGTAGAGAGTTCTTAGTTCCAAAAGCTGGGCACCAAACGACGGTCAGGCAGAGTTCACCACGTAAGCACGTGGCTTCCTCACGCTTCCCACGTGGCTCCCACAGGCGGCACGACTCAATGTAGGTCACGGACGGAGCACGCCCTTGCCGGTGGCCACAGGGGGATCCGTCGGCAGAATGGACCAGGAACTCCGGTCCTCTCGATGGTCCTCTCTTGGTGATTTTTTTGTTTCTGTGATGAATTTGTTCTCTCTCCCGTCAACTTTCACATGGCTTGCATCAACATGTTGATACATGGACTTTTAAAGGAAGCATTGCTGTTATGAAAAACACAATTGTTTGGCATTGTTTGGCAGTTTTTGCATGTTTGTTTACCTTGGCACTAGGCACGCTGTCAAGTGTCTATCCTGATATTTTGCCCGCCAACGTTTGATAGATGTTGTGGACACATTGCTGCTCACATCGTGTCCATGGTTATGTTGGCCTGCCAATGTCTGTAAATGTGTTTGAACAAATTGCAATCACAGATTTGACGCTGCATGTGGGCCTGATACATTTTGACATATTTCTTGACGCTGTAAAGTAAAGTGTCAAGGCGCTGACTGCCATATCCTTTTTTTGTGCTTGGTCCTTGGTGATTTTGAGATGTTTGCAACGAAGGCGGAGTTGATTGTTTCCCACACTTATTTATCCTCAGGTCTTCGAGAGGACGTCCACCTCCTTCGCTGCCTCCACTCGCGGCCTCCCACTCACTCACACACACTCGGTTGCGTACGGAACTGGAGGTGGTTTACCACCCGCCAGCCTAAATAGAAAACCTAAGAGACCAGGACAGACTTGGCATCAATCCAAGAGGAAAACCCTGCATCCTTCAAATAGATTCAGAACAGATACATAAATTTAGTTTCAGAAAAGATAGTTAAATTTGCAGGTGCATACAGCTCTCACCATTGGCCTATTCATTGGCCATCCACCAATGGTGAGAGGGATAGCCCCCCTGCATTTTAACACCGATAGGTGACCTTTGATTCCAAGGCATCCACACACACACACACACACGCACCAACTCAACTCACTCACAAAAACTGACACCACCAACTCAACACACACCAACTTACACACGGGCCAACACACACTTAGATTCATGGCTCAAATGAATGAGCATAAGTTTCAAAAAGTGGTTTACCGGAAGCTAGTTAGTGCATTAGCATGCATTAGCACTTTACTGCAAAACACAGAAGGAGACAGCTTAAGCTCTACTTAGAACCACAAGTTAGTTGCTGCATCACCAAGTGCCAGTGCCAGTGGTGGAGCTCCACCCGTGGCGGAGCGATCACCCAGTGGGGATACCAGAGCTCTAAGGCGAAAGAGTCGGAAGAACAGAACTGTTTAACACACTCACTGGCACTTTACCAAAGCTTAAAAATTGACGCAGCTACACATCCAGCTGGCCAAGCTGGATATCCCGTGAAACCCGGTCGCTTCACACGGTCCCGGTGCTGTGTCCCCTGGACTCCTAGAGACGGAGTTGACACACACAAGGGCGCGCCGCGCTTTGCGGCGCGCCCTTGCTTTTTCGTGCAGAAACAAAGCATTGGACAGCTTAAGCCATACTTAGGTTCACAAAGGTTACCTATGGAAACATTAGCCCTGTAGTTAAGAAACAACGTATTGGACAGCTTAAGCATTACTTAGGTTCACAGAGACAGAGTGCTCTACCGGAAGCTGGCTGTCACGTGACTGAAAAAGACCTGGTTACACATCTAAAAAGCTTCTAGAGGAGAGTCAGACCTAGAAAAGGAAACAAAAGGCAGGAGAGACAGAAACGAGGGGTAGGGTTGTGTGTGAAGTGTTGGGGCGACTAGACGAGCCTCAAGAGCAACCTAACAAGCCTGAAGAAACACCTAACAAACGAAGAAAGAACGCAAGAGAGAAAAAGGTGTGGGTGTGTGTGTATGTGTGATGCACTCTCACTCACACTCACTCACTCTCACTCACTCACACCGCAACAATGGACACAATGTAGCGTTATATCTGTGATGGCAACTCTCCAAAGCAGGAAAATGCTGGGCCAACACAACAGTTAATGGAGGAGACTTTGCAGTGTCATGTTTCCAAACTATTTGTCAAAATTGATGGGCCACTCTACGTGCCAAACAGTTTTGGAAAACAACAGATTTTGCCAGCAATTTCAAATCACCCAGGCAACAAATCACAAGGCCAGACCTAGTCCCCCTTGTGTGACAGGCAGAAGTGAATCGCGTTGTTCCTTGGGGCAAACGTGGCAGAATCCATGGCCACAGTGGACGAGAAATCTTCCGATTCTGGAAATTGCGGAGGGGAGGGTGGGGACGGCTTGCCCTCTTCGGCGCTGAGGGTGGCTTGGCCGGAATGGCAGGAACTTCAGGTTTTTCTGAAATCCTCGGTGGCTGGAATTGTCCAGACCTGAGAGACATGCGGATGGGTGAGATCAAAGCCACTGTTTGATTTAAATGTTTTTCAGTTCATTGTGGGGTCTTCACCTCGATTGTACTAGTCCATGTGCCCTTGTGCCCTTGAGCCACTCACATTGGTTCAAAGAAACTCTTATATAAACCAATATACTGGCAAAACCAGAAACTGTCATCTCATTTGGCATCATTTCACTCGATGTTGGCAGTCCAATCCGTCACACGACGCACGTCAATCCGTTGACCTCGCGTCTCCTCACGTCTCCTCGGCCCCGATGTCTGCTCAGGTGGCTTGGGGTGACCAGCCGTTGGAGCTCATGAGCCAGGCGAGGTGTTGCACACACCGTGCCGGTCGACCGAGCGCGGAACGTAGCGCAGCCGTCGCCTAGACGTGAAAGACGTGACGCGGAAGACGTGACCTGGGAGGTGAGAAGGGGAGGTTTGGCAGGTTTGGCAGTTGCCTTGTGGGATTGGTCAACATGTGTGTTTTTTTGGGGGGGGTTGAGTGGGCAAGAAATCACTGGCCACATGTGATGAGCCTTTGTTGGGGGATTGGTAGCTTGTTGATGCGTGTTGCATGGCTTTGCGTCTGATTTCGTTGGATTTCCCCGGTGGTTCTTTGGCGATGGGGAATCCACCGCGGACATTCATAGGAAGTAAGTGTGGCCATATGAAGGCAGGAAGTATCAGAAGGGGCTGGGCTGGGAGCACTTGTAAAGCTTGTCAAGTTCCTGAGTGCATCAGATTGACATGCTCCCCAAACTCCAAACAAATGCTTGCATTCTTCCTGCTGTTTCTCGAATCCCACCCATAACTAAATCTACGAAGCAACAGAGCCCACCCAAGCAGTACTGCATCGCATCGCTAGCAGCGGCCAGCATCCCACTGCAGCTTGGCGCCGAGCAGCCGGTCGACCCGGTGCTTGGCTTGGCGGTCTTGCAGCGCTTGGAAGCCCAACGCAAAGTCCAGCAGCATTGGTTCACCATAAATAGATCGAATGCATGCGTTCATCCAGTTTTGAAACAGGTGTTGAACACTGTTTCGATGTATTTGGGCCATGACATTTGGTACACTTTTTGGAGATGTTGACCTTGGGAATTTGCTGAACATGAAGCTGACAACTTTTTGGTAGAGCCACAGCCAGGGAAGAAGCTGTCAGGAAGTTGTTCTTCCATGGTAGTGTTGCTGTTCTCTTTTTTTTCCAAACCCCTTGCTTTTTGCTATTAATGAGTTGGTTGTTGTGAGCCTTTCCCTTGCAGGCTTCAACTATATTGAAAGTACATTTCGCGCCCGCAGTCCGGTTTGATGAATGCAATCCTATAGAGATTATTGAGTGGTAGTCTGACTAGTTTTGATGTATCCTAGGCAGCAAAGACACATTGATGCTTAGCCAGTCTGTTTGTTGGATTCAGAAAGCTACAAACGCAACAGTTGTGAGTCCAGCTACATGAAAGTAACACGTTCTCGTTTCATAAAGGCCCACAATGTCTGAATGGCAGCAGCTCCAAGAGCGTCTTTACCCCCGAGTCCGGGGATACTCTCAAAGGAGCCAACGCAGCAAACTCTTTGTGACAGTTGTGCAGGCCAAGAACCTTCGTTTGCCCGGAGTTCATTGGTATCCACCCCAAGCAGTCGTGGTCCTAGGACCTCACGAGCGGCGCTCTCCTTTGGGCGAAGCATTCGGACCTCATCCCATCTTTGATTGGCGGATCGAACTCCCTTTCACAGGACATGAATCGCATTTGGCCTTCCAGGCAACTTGTCCCGAAACATTCTAAAAAGGTGGTTGTGTATAGTACTGTACTCCTGTATTCCTCCTCAACCTCAACCAACCATGTTTCTTCTTGCCAGAGTTCACCTGGCCTTAAGCAAGCCGCTTTCTGCTTTTTCAGGTGACTTGTGAAGGTGAGCTGCTGGGTGGTTGCATCCTACCCCTACGTGAAGTCCTCGCACTTAGTAGCTCCAGCACCGGATTTCATCGCGCCTTGCCCTTGGGCGCGCCACACGAGCGGAACTCGCCCGTGCCCAGCGCGGATCTCTCTGCGGCGCCGGACTCGGAGCAGCGGAATGTGCGGCCGGAGTTGGTGGTCGCCATCAGTGCTGTGCTGGAAGGCACAGTCGACTGTAACGCCCGGAAATGACTGTGGTGGGAAGAGAGTCCTCAGAGGGTCTGCTGTGACGGTGACGATGATGCTGATGACATGTCGTGTTTTGATGAACGAAGTGATGTACAAACGTTTTGTTTTTTCTGCAGGTGGTGATGTTCTCATACCTCAACAAGAGCGTAGTGCCGAAGAGCTGCGCCTCCACACCTCGCAGGTGAGGGTCACCTTAAAATCTTTGCGTGTCGAAGAGAACTTGGCGATTGCGGACGTGCAAAGAGGCGCGAGGTGTCTTCAGCTGCGATCAGCTGCGATCAGCTGCGTGTGCCCTGATTTGCAGGGGTGATCCTTTTTCAAGTCGGACGGTCTCGACCAAGTAGTACTTCCGGAAAAGACTCTGTCTGCAGTACTGGTAGTTCGTTTCACAAGTCCTTGATTTGTGGAGCGAATGAACTTATAGACTTCACTCCCTCCAGGTCAGCGGAAGATCGCTCCATACGTGATGGCGTCCTGTGGCCAGCAGACTGCACGGACCAAAGCGGCCTTTCTCACGGCCGGGAGGCCAGGTCCTTCGTTTGGACGAGTCGTTGGCAACACTTGGTGGTTGAAGGCATGGCTCCATCACGGAGCCTGGATCATGACAACCGCCAGTTTCCTCATGTAGAAACATGCTCTTTGTACCTGAATCCGTTTTGGTATGTTATGTTGTTTCGTTTTTCATAAGCCTTTTCCTAGGCCGGTCTGAGCCGGTATATCCACTCCGCAAATTTCAGGTGGTGGGTGAAATTCGTAGCCCTTGTGCAATTCTTTTCCACCTCTTTGTGTGTCCTTTCATTAATAAGCCTACACCCAATTTGTACCCATTTGTGATTGTGATCCTATTGCGAGATGTTTGAGGCCTGAATCCTGTGTACCGCTCAGAGCCCTCGTAGTCATCATCCAAAGTACCTGTTTGTTTCACTCTCCACGCACCAAACGGACAAAGACTGTCAAACAGACTTTGGTTTGCAGGCAAGACCGGGAGAAGTTTGTCTTCACCAAGATGCCCAAGGCCACCAGCGACTTCGATTGTGGCGACTTACTTCGTGGAAGTTTGGATCGCTACAAAGCTGTGCCTTCTTTGGAGGAGCGACGGATGAATGAGCCCGAATTCGGGTATCATATGCGCACAGAGAATGGTTTGCAAATTACCTATAGCAATGCTCAGTTTACCTTTTGGTATCAACAACAAGAAGTGATTGAGTTTATGGTTTATGACGATCTATTTTTCTACTACCCGGACAACCTCGTTGCCTGCGGCACACTTGATCTTGATGATGCATTCAGCGTTGCTTTTACAGAGCAGGGAGAACTCTTAGATGAGAATGCAAAACAGCCGAGGGTTCGCATGCACGTTACCCTTGCACCTTCCATTGCCACTGTGCGCCCTGGTGCAAGCACAAGTGAAACTTCAGCTGCAGATGGTGGTACTGGCGGTAGTACTAGTTCTCGAATTGCAGGGGAGATAGAGCTGGAAATCGAGTTCATGCAAGAGCCTGTTGCTTGCCCTACCGCACTGGAGAGCACTTTCAGACAAGCCTTGTCACAGAGCAAGAAGGCAGAAGAGTTACAGCGTGAAAGCCTGCAGTATTTGGCAGAGATCATCACTTCGAGCACAGTACGGCCTTCTGGCTTACCTGCATTAGAAGACCTTTTCAGCGAACAAAAGGAAGCTCGACTGCGCGATGTCAGACATGTCAACTTGTGAGCTCAGACTTCAGCTAAGGGCTCGGAACCTCTCAGGCTCAGGTCGTAAGTACCCCTCCGCATATAACCTGGTTTCGTGGAGTCACCCCCTGGTTGGTATTCGGATTGCATGTTCTTTCCAGGGGTCGTGCCATCCACGTAACCATGATTGTTTCAGGGTAATCAAACCGTACACTCTATAAGCGCAGTTGATTTACCCGTCCTTGGTCTTGAGGCACTCTGAGGCTGACGTGTATATGTAGCGTTGCATTCTATAGCTAATGGAAACTGTAGGAAGCTGTAATAGCATCAAGGGTCCTAAGATCGTTATTAACTCTGCCTGATGCAGTGAAGGGCAATGAGTGAACTCACACGTTTCGATCAGGATTGTTGCTCACTGTGAGAAATGTACTAGAGAGCAGCACAGCTGGCACCTGAAATGCCAGCCGCACTCACCAATGTTTGCGCGACCATGCATGTGATATTCAAGAGTATCACACAAGAGACGTTGGCCATGAACAAGCGTCCTGAAACAGGCCATGATTTGCCTTTCAGAAGATGAGAATGGTTCGTTGAACCTGCTATTTATATTATACATCTACTTAACCTGTGTGGGAGAACGAAAGCTGACTGAAGACATGTCAAACTTGTCAATCATGTTCAGTACATTACATGTCCAATAGGTGTTTCTTTATTACTCCAATTTCTTTGTATTTATGCCTTGCATTTCTGTTTCAACCGTTGACCCGTGAGCTCAGGAAAGCTTGGCGATCCTTTGTTGCACCTGTGCGGTGGCCGCAGCACGACGCATGATCGACCATGAAGACTGGGTGGTGGTGGTTTTTGAGAATCGACTTGAGAACATTGTCCAAGAGATTTGCGAGGTTCTACTGGATGATGGACATGTGCTCACAGCGGAACTGGTGACATGCGCTCGCAGAGCCGTGAGCTACAAGACCATTGAGAAGGCTGCGGAGGCATATAGACGTTCTTGTCGCAGCACTTCACAAATGGAACATTTGCTTCCTTTGGGCACTTTGCTGTGCATGCTACGCTCCACTGGCGCTTTGCTACGCTCCTCTCTGAAAAGAGCCTCTGAGGCGATTGAACCTGATGGGTCACATGGCTCCTTGTTCTTTGAACTCTTAGAACGTCATCTCGTGAGTTGTGGGGAGTTAGAAGTCTCTCAGCCCTTGGTTGTGCAGCTCGGGACTTCCAGCGATGAGCTTGGGGATTCCCCAGGCGAAGTGGCGGAGTATACAGCTGCACAGCAGAAGGAGCAGTTGCGGCTGGGCCGTGAGGCCATGTATTCCAACTTCTTTCCACAGATCGATACGCAGCGGCTGCTCGATAGAGAGAAGGAGGAGTGGCAGCTGGAAGTATTGCCTGGACAATATCCATTTTTGGTTCCAGCTTCAGTGTGCATAGGAAGCCTTTGTGGTGCGATCATGGCTTTCTCCATTGTGGAGACAGCCGTGATTGTGCATACGATGGACGCTCGCATTCTGTGTCACAAGGATTATGAGCACATGGCATTGATGCGAGCTTCCTGCTGGGTGATGAAGGACTCGTACTTAGACAACTTCATGGAATGGGTGGCAGAATCACCGGGATGGTTCAAGAGCATCTTCATCCTGTCAGGACTCATGGATGGCAAAACCGCTTTCACCTACATGCGTCGACGGGTGTTGAAGCTCCGGGAACTGCAGCTGGAGTCGATTGGTGAAGCGCTGTCTCCGCACAAAGTCATTTGTATCTCGGGATTCTTGCGTTCCTTCGCAGATCTTTGCCAACCCTGGGTCGTGGATCCCGACAGGCCCTGGACTTCGGCACAAGTCCACTTCCTTCGCTTTGAGACGGAAGTGCTTCATTTGCTGGGTGTGCAGCTGAATGATGTTTTGGCACGGGATCTCAAGAGGACGCAGCATTGAGCGGCGAAGTCGAAGGCATCATTTTTCTTCCACCAAATCCACCCCCCAAAAGATCCCCAAAAGGATCCAAAGATGGTCAGTGTCTCCATCTTACCAGCCACTTCTAGTACTTTCGAGCCCTTTTCTCACATCCCACCCGGTGGGTTCTGTTTTGACGTACTATCCCTCTCCCGTTCTCCAACCGCCTTCCCGGAAAAAGCCGAGAGTCGCGCGCCTACAGATCCTAGAGGTGGCCGCCCTCCTTTGCATGAAAGCGCCACATAGCGGCACCAGCACCACCTCTCAGGCGTCTCGGCGCCACCGTGGTGCCGCAAATCACACCGCCTCCCAGTCCCCAGTGGGCCCTCGAACACCCTCCACGTACCCTCCAACCGTACCCCAACACCCAGTCCCCCTTCGCCCTCGCAGGACCGAGTACGTGGCGCGCTTCCTGGTGGCGTGCACGAACCTCATCAGTTTCTCCCAGCGCCTCACCGAGATGCTGCTGGACGAGCTGGGCGACTTCTTGGACCGAGCGGCCACAAGGGCGGAGCAGGCCGCGGTCAACGGCGGGGGAAGTGGGGCACGTGTCGTTGGAGGAGTGGGGAAGCCATGAGAATAGAACACACAAAAGGAGGAGCATGTCGTGCATTTAGCACGGGGACTGAATGGTTTTCACATCATAGTCCCCATCATGTAAGAAGGCACTTATTCCAGGAGACTTAAATGGAGCTGCGAGGGTGACCTTTGCAAGAGCGCATACATTGTATTTATTCCACTACGTCACCAGACCATCAGAGGAAGACACACACACACGATCACACGAGCTTCAAGCAAGCTCCACCTGATTCCACTGGTGTGTGTATGTGTGATCACATGTGATCACATACACAGCTCCACAAGCTCTCCACAAGCTTCCAGCCAACTTGCATTGCTTTTCTTTCCCACTCAGGTCGGGAAGCTGTTGGCTCGTCAACTGCTGGAAGCTCGTACCAACGCCCGTCGTCGGAATGCCTCCTTCACAGTGAGTTTGGTCGGCTTCTCGACCGGTGGAGTCGTGGTCGAGAGCTGCTTGAAGGAACTACAAGAGATGGTCAAGGATGGCGACCATGTTGCCAGTGATATCGTTTGTGATGCCGTGATGTTAGGCACCCCCAGCCGAGCTTTGGACGAAGATTGGTCCAAGCTCAGACAGCTTGTGAGTGGACGGTTCATCAATGGCTTTTTTGCACAGGACTCCTTCCTCTTGTCCCATCAATTCCGCCGCGGTGGAGCTCGCCTGGCAGGCTGCAGCCCTTTGCATGCCCCGGATGTCGAGAACGTTCCAATGGATCCATTCATCACCACCCACAATGAGTATCCTGAGCAGATGCCCTTGATACTTCAACGCATTTTTCAAGGTACTTAACCTGAGGAACAAAGATTTCCGACTGATCCGTGTCCCAAAGCTGGTGCGGCAAAATCTATTGTCTGAAATTGTGTGGATCTAAGCCCCGTGGAAGTAAACGAATGCTGCGCCCTCAGGTCGTCCTTTTCTTTGGACTTTCGGATGACATATTTCTTTGAAGACGTTTGAAGCGAAGACCAACAGCAAGCTACTTAGTATAAGAATGAGTCAGAGTCTGAGTCATGTTTATATTAATAATGACCTCGCACTCGTCGTTTTCCGTGGCTTTGTCTTTTGGGACATCAACTCCAATTTCTTGAAACGGACCCATGGTCGCATATGCTGCGTGCTTTCCTGGGCTGCTTCTTACTTGGGCCTACCAATGTTCAACGTCACGTCCCAAGGTCAGGTGTTGGTCATGATGATGTGACTGGTGGTAAAGATCGCAATTGGCCAGATCCTTGGACCGGACGAGCCAGATCGGATTTGGTCCGCAAATCGATCAGACTTCAAACATCCGCAAACAGTGGACAACCGGTCAAACTGTCGATGACGACGAACTGTCGGATATTCTAGGATCATCAGCAAGCACGCTACAGCTGGAATTGATCTCAGTCTTCTCGGGCTATCTCGGGCTTATACCAATATAATTCATATGAATCAATTGACTTCGTGCCATTGTGGACGATTGAACCCAACCGCTTCTCAGACCTGAGGTCTTCGCTTCTCGTGCCTAGGTCGAACATGAGCAGCTTTTCGGGATGGGGCGTACACTTCTCAAACGGTACCACTGGTGACCGCCTCAGGTGACTGCCTCGGAGGTAGACTTCCTTGCTTCTGCTTTTCCTTTCCTCTGTAGGTTTCAGTCCAGGCACTGGTCTGTTCAAGCAGTCAGAATTTGCCGGCGACATCTGTTCTTTTCCGGTACCACGTTCCGAAAAAACCCGTCCGATGACGCTTGTTGCCATCTTCCAGGTCATCATGTGAGGCCTGGTGCAGGCCTTGCGCAGCTTCGTGCGTTGCAGTCACGTGGCCGAGTCAGTGGTGAACCATCTCTCTGCACACATGTTGGATTGATCGTCGGATCCAGAAGATGCGGACGTTGTCTATGAATCGATTAAACACATGTTATCATCATATACTGTAACTAAATGATACTAAAATCTATGTTTGATACACTTTATGATAGATATAGATGATATATGATATATCAGAACAAATACGCAACTTGTGACCCGTCCGACCGTCCTCTATTTTGGGACTGACCGCTGGGTGGTCGATCGGTCGACACTCCTCTTGATCGGAGGACGTCGGACCGAGGTGGTGTGCTGATGCGGTGAAATGGCACGAGACGAATGTCATGGGCCACCAGTGCCCGATGGACGCAAAGACACAAATGTTTGGGCCACTGAATTTTTGACAATTTTTGGAAAGCAATAGAAGATCGACATGTGGGATCAAACTTCACCAGGTCTTTATGTCATTAAAAAAAGACTGTGTGGAAGCAAGCTTTAACCATCAGATCACTGGCAGACAAATTTGGGAACAATGTGGGAACTGGAAGGTCTGACAGTAGAACCATGACACTGACAGACTGTTTGTGACTCGACCACGTTCCGGTGTTAAACCCGAGTACCTGATTAAAAATATACACAACTAAAAACTCATGTCGGAGGGCTCTATAAATAGGAAAATACTGCATTAAGTGTTTATTGTGAGCTCTTCTGTTTTCTGATGATTTTTTCATGCGACTTGTGCCACGTTCCTATATACTGTAGCGCAGTATTTCTTTGGGGAAACATTTGTCCTTGTGTCGTTTTATCAGGTACTCCCACATCTTGTACGCACGTTGGGATTTGCAATGGCTCATTCCCCTGCCTAAGCTGACTTTGCTTAGCGTCTGGTGCCTAGACTTCGGGAAAAAAAACAGGATTGATGATTTCTGCCCGGAGTTCGTGCCCAGATCAAAGGTCTTGCCTAGTAGGTGCGAGCTGCTGTCTTTTCGTCGCGGTGCCACGGGATTTTGGCAAAGCCAGATTGCCTTGTTTAGACACGAAAGAAAAAAGCACCTGGAGCTCAGGAGATGGATGAAGATGCCATTTGGCTCCCTGCAGTGTCTTGGCGCAAGAAAAAAGAGGGGATCCAAGCCAAGCAGCCTCAGCAGCCTTAAAGTCGAACAGCAGCTCAAGAGGTCGATGAAGTCAAGAGACTGGTCAACTGATACACCCGGGAAGAGACTCAACCCGGTTTGTAGAGGAAGATCGTTTTCCAGTCTGGTCCATGCCAAGCCCGGTTCCATGTGAGTCTTTTCCCGGGTGTAGTTGGTCAGTGCAAACATCCGGAGGATGGCCAAACATCCTCCACTCTCAATGGGACATGTCCCATACATGTCCTGCAGGGCGCTGGGTGCCAGGCTGCAACAAGTGAAGGGAAGCAACCAAGTAAGAACGTGATGCTGTGGTAGACATTTTACGGATCACATTTGTAGTTTTTAAAAGTATATATCCTAATGCTGGAAGCCCCAAACATGCACTGAGCAGCGCTTCCTCCCTGTTGCTGGTGATTTTTCCTTGGCGCATCACTATATCACCCTACTGTCTCATTTGTTGGCTGCTTGCAACACATGCAAGTTGTGCACGTATTCTTCTTGTCCTGGCTAACCTCCCTGCGACGATGTCGGACCGTCCACCCTGACGATGTCGGACCATTGGAACCTGAGGTCCAAGGGCAATTCTTTACCAATGACCGCTTTGCAGTGGTTCCGCGTCAATGGTGACCAGACGAAGTATGGACGGTTCCGCGTAAATTTTGGTGTTTGGCATGGGGGGTGTCTTTTGATGTGAGAAAGGCGACCTCAAAAGAGACAGTTTGAACAACAAGCAACTACCAGGACCCTCCGACAGGTCACCAATAGAGACCTGTTAGGGCCTAACAACCCTCAACTAACAGCCTGTTGGAGGGTGCTGGTATATGTGCCAACAAGATATATATCGTCTTGACTGGTCTCCTTGCCAAACGCGGCCGGATGTGACCGGTACCCATGTGCCATCATGAAAGGTTACGTGTTTTCACAGATAAATGGTTTGACCTTAGGGATTCAACCTGTTGGGTATTTATAGCTGTTAATAGTGTATAATTACATTCTTTGTGGCTTCTGATTGAGTTCAGCTATACTAAATACATCTAAATACCCAAATACCGCTCGGCCAGTCATTTGTGGCCTCTGCTTGAGTGGCTTCTGCTTCTTCGCCACCTGCCTGTCAAGTGCACACCTATGCTAGCGGCTGCTAGCGGCAGCTCCCGAGGCTTTCAGCATATTTTGAAGGCTGGAAGCCGGAAGCTGAGAGCTATCCAAGACTTTACTCCATGCCACAAAGCGTTTGCACTCTGCTGGCAGCGCATCATGTTGCAAGCGCACAGTTTGCTTTGCAAGTATTGCAAAAGCCTGCGGAAAGAAAAGCATGTCAGAGGTAGTTGTACTTATGTAGCCAGCTTGCTTGTGCCCACCAACAGTTTTCTTTGCAAACAACAGCCATGGCTTGCAAGTCTTCTGCCAATATGGAAATATCCACTGTCCTCAACTCTCAGCGTAGACCAGCCATTCCTGCCTCCGACTTGCTTCCTGCCCAGAAGGAGAGAAAGCTTAGCACACCCCTAGTCAAACAGTGCATAAACCATGGAAATATTGTGTGCAAGGTGCCCAGCACCTTGCTTTCAAGCAGTAGCTCAGACAACAGCAGTAGCTTTCTGCTGAGTAACTCATTCTATCAGATTGCTCCCATTCGGCATCAGCGAAACATCGACTTATTGGCCACTCAGCGAAACATGCCATCATAGATCTTTGGCCATTGATGGAAGGATCTTTTTCAACCACAGACGATGAGATGTTTTTTTGACATCTCTGGAATTCTACCCCACCTGCTCAAGAGTCTACGAACTCTGTGCCAATCTTCCTGCTCCCAGCCTATCATGGTAGCTGCCATTTTGCCCTTCCAGCCTGCATGAGCACCAGAAACAAAGACTGGAATTTGTGGACGCCTTCCTTTCTTTTACTGCAGTAACATTTTCGTCAACCAAAACTACCAACCGATCACTCACTTGCAGCAAATAATGGATGTTGCCACATTTCAAAGCAAAATGCCTCTTGTCAGTCTTTTGAACACCATGATATCACCCTTGGCCTTTGTCATCCCAATGGCAAGAGTTACTAACATAATTTCGTGGGAATCCTGCGCTCAGCCTTGTTATGCAAAGAAGGTAACAATTTCTTTGTTGAACTTCACAGGTTTCAGCTACCTGCGCCTAGGTGTCAATTGAATATTGTCATTTTGAAACTGAACCTCTTCTCTGCTCAGCCCAAACACCTCTTGTCAGAAGAGGATTCATAGTATTTCATGTTGAAGCAGCTACCACCATGCTGCCTGATGGCAAGCAACAGATTACTATAGTGGCCCCAAACCAGATATATACTAAGAACTACTAAGAGCGATCCCCTTCATATGACTTATACATACATGTCTTGATGACCATTTCTTTCTGGCACTTGTCGTGCAAACTATCCTCTTGCAAAATCACGCTGTGCTGTGCGGATCGGATTCTCGAGGCTTGTGATCTCTGGCGAGGCAGAGAACGTTTTCGAATCACAGATGTCCCGTGTCTGGGTGTCCCAGCTCTTCACATCGTTTCTGGAGTTCAGCTCTTCGCAAGAAGGAAACATCGACCGCAAGAAAGAAGGCGTTTGCTTTTTTTTCCAGTATGGTTCCAGTGCCAACATGCTGTCATTCATGGGCAACTTCTGAGGTGGGCAGACCCAATTTTCTTTCTGACAGCACTGATTGCGAGGCAAAGATTGGAAGTGATTGGTGAAGCAGTTCATTGACGACCATATTGACCCGAACGGACAGAGTTGCCTTGCTTTGTTTTACGGTCACTGGACACCAAGCATCGCCACAGATGCTTGTGTCATTCTTTGCAGCTCTGGCACTGTTTCAGGCGTTTCTTTATGCGCGCTTGTCCTATATGGGTGCCAGTCAAGAGCTCAATTTCAAGATTTACATCAGAGAAATCTTCCAAGAACCACTTGGACAAGCCCTCCGTTTTGGTCATTACAAAGAACACACACACAAAGAACAATCACGTTTCATTCGCTGAAAAAGCATCACACGACCTCCGAAAAAGGGGTCACCATATTGTTTTTCGTTCGATGAGGAGCTGCTGAGCTTCCACCCATCTTCTACGTGCAGTGTGAACCATCCAAAGACTTGGACACAAGGACCGGCGACCGACGGGACCGACGGATGGTGCCAGACGGAGGCTGTGTTCGTAGAAAGTGATGGGGGGGGAACGTTGCTGTCCACAAGTGGTTGGACACAGGCAGCCAAGGCAATCATGGAAAGAAACGGTTCTTTGGGTCGGTAGAAGTCACATCACATCCACATCCACCAGTGATATCATCCCTCTCATGGTATCCGCAGAACCCCCGCACGGTTTCTCTCGTGCGCCCGCGTAAACGCGCGTCAACGTGCACCGCTCGGTGGGGTGCTTCCGCCGCGTCCGCCGGAGCCGGGGGCTCGAGGAATCTCCGGAGCCTGGGGCATTTCTCCTGTACGCCATTTTCTGCTTTGATGGAGGTGGAGGTCGGGTGAGTCCAAGTCGCCTAGTGACTATCATGTGGGGAGGGGTCCTGCGCGTCTCATTTGTGAAACAAGTATAGTGGGTGAGACGATGGTGAGTCTCCCGTGTGGCCTCCGTATGGCCTGAGGATGACGGAAGTCAAGATGTTTGCTTGTGCAGCATGCTGTTGGGTGTCTTGGCAACATCCACAAAGGCTGAAGGCGGTTGGTCAGGTGTTGCCTCCTCCCAGACTGATGTAGAGAAAATGAGACAAAGCACAAAACAACTCGAAGGACCAGCGAAAAAGCGGAAGGAGGGTCCATATCCTCAACAAGAAATAGCAACAAGCATGTGATGCAGTCCGCTTTTACGCAGGTCCGCGGCTTCGACGAGCTGAGCAACCGAGAAATCATCGAGGCCCGGTAGTGACGTTTCAAGACGTCCAGTACGCCGGTACGCCCCCGGTACGCGTTGGAAAAATGTTGAAGTCAGGATGAATACCGGAAGAGAATGTCAGAGAAGTAGTTTGCTCATAAATTGAACATGTTGCGTGTGTGTGAGAGGGAATCAATCGAAGTTACTAAGTTCATCAAATAACTGTTATAACATTGTCAGATCAATTGGCTCACTGACCTGCACCAAGAAAAGTGCCAACTCAATTTTTTGCCACTCTGAAAAAAGTGGTGTCTTGCTCAGTTGTCACCGCCTGATGGATTGGAGGCACTGGGCGGCGCCAAGTATTCGAATGAATTGGCAGGAGCCAACTACTGAGAGCTGCTGACACGAGACTCAAGAAGAAAACTCATGGCGGGCGTGGCGTCAGATGGCACAAAGCCCCAGCAACCCGTGTGGAATAAATCCATCAACCCATCGAAAAGTTGGTCATTCAACAACTCGAAGATCTCGGATTCGAAAGGCATTGTAACATGACATACACCACAACATATTGCCGTGCAAAAGACTGCGTGTGCATTGAACACCAATGTCGATCGCTCCAAATGAACCGGTGCTTCCAGCCCGCCGTCCAGCCCACCCTCGAACCGCCAAGAACGCCGACCGCTTCGAAGCGCCAAGGTCATGGCGACGGAGTCACTTCTGCAGGGACTGCCCACCGGATCCGACGCCTGGGAAGCACAAGGCCGCTTCGTCCGCGGGGTCGGTTCGGGACGCCAGCCACGGTTCGCGGGGCGGTTCGGGGCGGGAAACGCTGTGAGACCCGGGTGTGTGTCGAAGAGAATAACCACACGTGCTTGAAGAGGTGGTTGTGAAGAGGTGGCGTGATATATCTTCTTGGTGGGTGACCAAGAGATTCTCCAAGAGCGGCCAAAAGGTTTCTTGGAGAAGAGACTCTGTCGGCTCTCAACGACTTCTGAGCCAGCAGGACGATCAACCACCTACAACCAGCGTCTATGTGCTATACGTAGATTGCTCCAGTGACTCGTAATCATCAGAAACTTAAAGACGGAGCGCGTTTCGCTTCCGCAATCACCATGTCATAGGCTTTCCAAAACCATGTGCAGGGCAGTCCTTCTTCCAAACGTCCCTACACAAACATGTTCGGCGTTTGGCAACATTTGAATCATCCGAAACATTCCGAAACTTAGACCATTTTAGACCTGTGTAAGTCAATGACCATCAAGAGTGTTACAGGTCTGAAACCACAAACAGTCTGTGTTCAGTGTGTTTCAGTCTTTTGGGTTGCAAACGGTGCGCGCTTTTTGCGCACGCGTTTGCGAGAGCGTTTTCTTGTAGCGTTCAGAACGATGTTGACCCCACATTTTAAGGGATGTGGGCCATGCGTTCCGGTCTAAGTCCCAAAGGGTCGCTGTATAGCCCGGTGCTGCCACCCCGGTGTATCTGACCGGGCCTTGCCCGGGCCATACCCGGTGTATCTCACCTGTGTTCGAATTGGCTGTTCTTGGGGCATCTCAGGGCACAGGATGATCGGTCAGCCGTGTGCTTGCACGAAAGAAATGGACATCAAACTATACCCTAAACTGCCCCCAGGTGACCCATCGATATGATGTGTGAAGACTCCTCCCCATCCAACAGAGTAAGAGAAGATGCGCCCACCTCGGGACCTTCCTTCTTTTGGCTCTTTCCTTTGTTATCCTTTCGTTTCGGTGCGGACTCCGCTGGAAGGTGTTTCGCTTCGCCCCCCCACGCGGCGCGTCGCGGCGTCTGGCGTCGTTGTCAGGGCCAACGCTCTTGATGCACCTCATCAAGCCGGTAGTCCAACACTTGGCACTGCAGGATCTCGTCGTCGTCGTGGTCCACAAAGGGAAGATCTTGAAGGTTTTGCCCTTTGTTTCAGGGATCCCGGAGCCTCCCACTTTGCGGCCCTTTTGGGGGGGCATCGCCGAGCCTCGCATCACACATATCATCACATATCGCAACCACTGGATCGTCATAACAACCATCGAAGGCATCCGGTCGAAGGCACGTGGGGGCTGGGTAGGTCCATCCCAACCCGCATTCGGTCGAAGGCCTGTCCTCAGGAGGTGGAGCCAGTAAACCTTCCAGCTTGGACCAAGCAACACATCGCGAACACGGTGTTCCTCGCGCAGCAAGTGGAGGCCACCGAGGGCAGAGGGAGAAGTCTGTGAGTTGCTTCCTCGCGCGTGAAACTACTGCCGGTCACAGTGGTCGGACGGTGGACGGTGGGTTGTCCTGGTCTTTGAGACTTTGAAGTGTACTAAAAGGTGGAAGGTTCGACTTGTACGACGTACGATCCATATATACAAAACCATGCCCCCCCGAACCATACACCCTGGCTCGAACCTGCTGGCCCGACATGTGATTTCTGCTCAGCCATGTATATAATTATGGGCAGGACTATTCCATTCCATAGTACTTGAATTGAACATTGCATGCTTGATTGCAAACGTGTTGGCAGGACCTACTGGCTTTTGTTTCAGTGGTCGGCCAGTACTCTCCTCTCTGCTCTCCCTCTCTCACTTCGCGAGGTGGCTCGAGCGATGCAGAAGGGCCTTTGTTTGGAGGTGGAGGATTGGAGGACGGTGACCAAAGCAGCGGCGTTGGTGCGCACGGAGACGGGAGCGTTCATAGAAGGGCCCGGTGAAGTCTCAAAGTGATCGTTGGCGGCTAGAGGAGTTGGCACGTGATCTCGGCAGTGAAGTGGTGGTTTCTTACTGCTGGTGAAGTGGTTTCTCACAGGTGAAGTGGTTTGCAACTAAAACCATTGCTAGCGAGCTTGAGGGTCACCCCTGTGGAGGCCCGCGGCCTGGGGGTTCCAAAATGATAGGGTCTCTCTTCCTGGCAGGTGAGGAAAGAATCGCAGACAACGATTTTGTGTAAAGCATGTACCAGCAGTCACAAGACGGGGTGGTGTTTAGTCCCATCCAATGAGTGGATGTTCTGGGCACCCCTAACCTTCATGGATCGCACCCCGTCTTCTGACTGCTGGTATATAAACTTAACTTTGAATGTCGTAGAATCTTTTGCCCCAAAAGTTATCTAGCTTCATTTCGGACAGCTGGAAGCTTCCCAGGTTGTCCAACGAAGCTGCACACAAGTAAAAAATCTGCCCCACACAAGCCCGGCGGAGGTCTTACAGTGAAGGCGGAGTCTTTAAGGTAGAGGCGCAAGTTCAAAAGATTCCGCCCAATTCTTTGAGAACATGTTCTAACGACAGCTACCTCAAAACTCCAAGGTGAGGAACCATTTGCTCCACGCGTCAACCGATAACATCCAGGAACAAACCTGCTCTGAACTTGTGTGTGTGTTGATAAGAATGATTGTTTGGTGCAACAAAGGAATTGAACCCACTGCCACAGCGTTTTGATCCACATGTTTCACACATATTGGAGGGTCTTTGCTTCTGGTGTTTTAGAATGGCACACTTAATTCCAAAGTCATTCATTCCTGTAAACATATCAATATGTACAGCGTGGCCGTGATTTTACTGCAGAAGATGCCAACAGCTTCAAGGTCCGAAGAAAGCACGTTCTGCAAATCCTCACACCTTTGTGCAAAGGGAATCATATACCAGCACCTTCAACGGGGTCTCCAATGGAAGCCCCTACACTACTAAGGGACCTCCATTGGACACCCCTTGAAGGTCCAGGTGGTTGCATCCATTCTGGGTGTCCTAAAGGGCCGATCACATGGCAACACTGCAACATAAAACACCGGGGGCAGCAAAGAACGCACAATCAGTGGGCAACAAGGGGGAGGAACATTGCGGGAGGAATGATGGTGCAAAGAGGCATGAGGGCAATGAGGGCGTGGCATGGAGCAACGGGTGGGGCAAGGGGGAATGAGTCATCAACGCAATGAGGGGAGAGAACACCGTGGAGGCATTGCGGGGAGACATGGAGGAAGGTTTTCACCAGATGGGGAGTGGCCATTTTTTTTCACGCTCCCATCCACCTGTTGCGTGTCCATCGATGAATGGGTGTTATTCTAAATGCAATTCCAGACAGTTGGAAGGTTGAAAAGGGTGCAGCTTAGTGGTGCAGCTGGTCCTGCAGATCCTACAGTTTGGATCAAAAGGGACTGGCCGGATTGCCATGCACATCCGTGTCAAATTCCTCTCATTTGATTATATTTGATTGGCAGAAAGGTGTCGAAACCTGGACTAGGAACAATCAAACCATCTACGACCACTTGGGGAGGGCCAATTCACCACTCTTCAGGAATAGATTGATACAGGTGTTCGATCTTGGCGACAGGAGAACTGGCTACATGTGCAGCAGGCTCTTGGAGATGATCATGACCTTGGCCATGCAAAGGCACGTGGTGTGTTTACATCATTCAATTCCAAGCCAGGATGAACAAGGAACAACCCAAATGGGTCCAAATGAAAGCAAGAACTGTATACTGGCTGTGTTTGTGTTAAGTCGCACGGGCTTGAGTAAAGTCATCTTGAGATGGAGAGTTTTGTTTGCATAGATGGCTGTGTACCCTTAAAAGGGAGACCCCCAACCAATGGGCTTTGGTCTATGTTTCTTCTTCCTGGAAGGATTTGGGAGGTCTCCCTATTCTTACACACACCCAGACTGGGATTTGTGGACATCTCTTTGAGACTTTACCAGCCATGCTTTCACATAGTGGCTCAGATGGTCAAGGAAGAGAAGACATGTGGGTAAGTCGTCTCCTGGAGAAATCTGGTTTTCTCTCCCTCGTGTCTATAGTCTCTGTCAGTCTAGGGGTTACCTCCGAGTGATGAAGTATTGACCAACCGTGACAGTGTCGCGGGCGAGAAAAAACATATTCCTCATCCATGTGCCATTCATCGGGCTTCCCTTTCAATCTCCACAATGGTCAGGGAGACCCGCAGATTTTGGCTCAGGGTCCGAGTGTATGTTCAAGGAGGTAGGTATCCTTTAGGATGTCAAAGTGAACACTAAAACCTTGAGCCACAGAGACGCTGCTCGTTTTATAGGACATATTTCACTATGCTTTGAGGTTGATTCATGCTTTATTCATTTTTACTCCATCATATAATTATTGGTGCCAATATCATCCGATATCTATTTCATACACAACTCACTCACAGTTCCCATTATACAACTAGATAAAAAGAAACGGTGTGGTGTGTTTCTGACAGCATGCTTCAAAGATGCTTGCTGCCCCGGATCCAGCTGCTGGGATTGTTCGATCCCATGGGCGCGGGGCGGGTCATCGAATCGGTCTCGGTTGATCTAGCTGGCTCTGAAGGTGGGGCCAAACCAGAGGCCCCTGTGCAGAAGGATTTCATAATGGTATACCGTAAGGAGGTTTTTCCAGTTTGGGGCCCTTTTTTTGGAACATGTTAGTTGACACGGTGTTCTTCTTTTCCCTTCGACTCCCTGCGACGATCAGCGTCGAACATGTCGAAGACATCGCAGAAAAAAAGCAGACGTCGAAAACAGCAAAGGCCACAGAAGCCTTGTGCCGCAGCTGGGCGCAACAGCAGGGTTTGGATGAGGCGCGAAGCCAGAGGGGAGGGGCCTGGCCAAAAGGCACTGAACGGGAGGCATCGTATATGTTGACATGCTTATATATGTTGATATGTTGACGTTGCAGTGATGGTCTATCATTTGGATGGCCTTATTGGCCATACACATGTTTGTTTATCAGGCTTATGAGAGCTTTTTGTCAATCGTTCTGCATGGTATTCTTCGAGCCTCTTGAGGCATGCGTCAACCGGCTGCTCGAGTTGCCAACATCAATGCTTCTCGGCCCAATGCGGGACCTCGCCGAGTCGAAGAAATCCAAGCTCATGCCATGTTGGTCGAGCATTTGAGCCCTTTGTGGTGAAGCGCCATCAGCGCCATCATCGCAGGTCATGCCCCGTTTTTTCCTGCGTTTCGAACGGACGTTCTTGGACCCTCGTGAGACGAGTGCCTAAGGTTGGCAACCGTGATGGAAGGCTTCCGACCCAAGCCAGGTACCTTGAATGCCTCTGGCCTTTTTGTAGCTTGGCGATGTGAATTTTTACCACATCTGAAGTGATTCATATCTGAGGGAATGGACATCCTGTGACGTCTACAACGCATGCATGTCATGAGCCAGACCAGACTCACTGGTTTAAATATGGATTTTCGTTCATGTTGGATGCATAACTTCTGATCGTGCGCGATTCGCTGAGATGGGCTACGTCCGCTCCATTCTATATGCGCAAAACGGTGCGGGTGAACGCGGCAAAGGAAAGGGCAAGGCCCCAGCACCTCGTCAGGCCTAGCCGACCCAGTGTTTGAAATAGAGTGCTGAAGAAGCACGACCATGGTGTCTGAAGGGTGGCTTGTAGCTGACGACGATTCTTCATGCTTCTGGGGAAATGAGGCACCAGCTTCAGTGGAAGAAATGAAAGAGCAGGTCGAGAAGAGCCTTGCCAGCAAGAAGTGTCGTCCGTTTCAGCCGGCCGAGCAAGAAGTCAACCAACTGCAAGTTGGAGCATGGTCGACCCAGATTCTCACGATTGGAATTCGAGGATGACCCACCTGCGACCTCTGATGTTTGGACTTGTCGAGGTTTGCTGCGCAGTGGGGGCTGGATGAGGAATGCCAGGCGGTGATGTTGGAGCAGAAACCCCAGGCCTCGGGGCCTCGCTTCGGTCAGGGGGCGGGGCAGTCGGGTCTCGGTGGTTGCCACGCGGTCGGTCTGAAACGCAGAGGAATTCAGTCGGTCTCACCTGATCAGAGCTCATACCTTATGCATTTGGAAGGCAGGTTTAATAGATGATGATGTGTGTAAGTGAGTGCGAGCAATGATGAATTAAGGCACGCTTAAAAAGAATCGAAAAAGAGAGATCTTGAAAAGAACAACTTTTGCTCCATGCGGTGAAGCTATAGAATGCCAATCACAGAAATTCCAACAGATTCCAACGACTCGGACCCCTCACGCGGACCCGCGCCACGCGGACACGCCACGCGGACCGGCGCTTGGTCGATGCCATGGAGCCCAGCGGCCGTTGCCCTGAGCGTGATCGCAGCGGCCGACCCTGGCAAGGCAGGAGATTCCGTGGAGGACTTCCGTGGATTGGAAAGAAGGGATTGTGGACCCGGCGCGGAAGGTGATCTCTAGAAGGTTTTTACATGTCCTTGTGACAAGGAACGAAGATTTTGGATCTCAGTACCAAGATTTTGCTATGATGGACATTGATGGACCCTCATTAGTGATCAAGTTCACCATGATTCGCTTTCTCTCTGTGCGTCCATCAGCCACCCCCCCCAAAAAAAAAGACGAACGCCAGGTGGCGACCGTGGCGGGCGACTGCCGCTTGAAGCGAGTGGATGGCACCGGTCTTTCAAAGAGTCGCTTCAAGAAGCTTCTGCGTGCTGGAAGGTGCGGCTTACAGCCACGCCGAGCGTGTACCGACAGCAGCGGCCTGGACGCGTCAATGTATATAACTGTCGTCGCATCCCGTGGCCTTAATCAAACAGTGACCGTTGCTGATGCAACACAAAGATTCCAAGAAACTAAATACGAATCTATAAGTGTGTTTTTGATTGTTTTTGAACGTTTTACGTAGGGCCGTGGGATGTAGGACATTTGTTGACAGGTGCAAGGGCAAGATGTGTTAAGATCTGTTATTTGCAACGCAAGTGGCTGTCCTTTGCTGCAGGCCTTTCCTGGTCCACTCTTTGGATGCTTCTCGGATCAATCCGGAGCAGAGCCTAGCTTATATACCCTGTTTCGGCGCCAAACACACACACACATCCTCCCAGTTCGGCTCCCTGGAAGAAGGAAGATAGACCAGTCTACCCAGTTCGTAGCGTCCTTGTTCCTAGTAGCGTCCTTGTTACTACTAGTAAGGCACCTGTTCCTAGTAGCGTGGCACTTGTTTCTACTAGCTTCTTGTTACTACTAGCTCCGGATTAAAATACCCACACTTTGATGTACTATTTCTACTGTCTGAACCAGTGTAACTGGCGATTAACGACCATTTCTGATCTCCCGCGCGATCCAGCTGATGAGATGAGGTAAGCAAGATCCAGTCCAGCGGAGAAGAACTGGAAAACTTTGGCAGCTCCAAGGTGCAGCTAGAAGCTGGCATTGATGAAGCTTCCGCCTCCTTCAGGCTGACGAAGGCTGACTTGGGATGCACGTATGGATCCACACACCGAACCTGAGATGGTGATTGGAGACGATTTATGAAGGCTTGGAGTCCTTGGAGGGCCCAATTGCCCTTTGAGGAGGTATGTGGATCCTCAGGGTATAGATTGCATTGGTGTTTGCAGGAGGAGAACCCAGAGAGCGTTTGGCAGATGGGTTTCTCCCCCGTACTACCGCACCACGATAAACAGGGAGCTCCCCAAACACGACTGCTAGTGTTTTATCGTTCCTGTAGAGGATCACCTCAGCGGATACAAGAAATGTGAACAAACCTTTGCGTCAAGTCATCAAGTTGCATTAGCTTGCCTTGTAATTGTGTCTCTTGCTACTCGCCACTCGTGCTGTCCCTCGTGTACTGCTTTGCTTGATCGTTCGCTAGAGGCTCTTCGGCAGGAATTTTGCCAAGATCCAAGATCTTCAGATCAGAACCATGCTTGAGTTCAGACCCTTCAAAAGCGCTGTAATGGTTCTCGATGTTGCGTTTGACGTCAGGAATGGCGTTCATTTCGAGAATATTCTCAACACCCGACAGGCTCCGCCAGTCTTTTGACAAAGCTTGGCCACCAATTTCTTGCAATAAAAGATAATATGTGTTCAAGTTTCTTGGTCCACTTGACATACTTGTGGACTATTCACTATTGTAGACACCACGACCACTCCTGTGCCAGCTTCAGCTGACGGAAATCCTGGTCCCACCGTGATCAAGTCGATTCATAATGATTAGTGGATGATTCATAGACGCACAGTGACTGAGTGGATGAGCAAAGGTCCAAACACCTGACATTGTTCCTGCCACACCTGCCCTCAGGCGAGCAAGAGCTTGTGTTCGAGCATGGCTTCATTGGCAACCTAAGCCGATTTCTTTGGGGCACCAAGTTCCTTTTGCTGCCAAAGACACTGCAGCACGCGCTGGCGTTTCCAATCCTTACCATTGGAACCAATGGTACCGGGACGAGTATGCATCAGCACGAGGGAACATGGCTCTTGTTGATCCAGGGGCTGAAAGTTTGGTGGCTTGCGGATAGACGTGTGCCCTCCAAGTCCATTGCACGTCGAGATCCGTGTCAATTTCTTGGTGCTGAAGGAGTGCCTGAAGGCTTCCATGTTTGCCATCAGAAAGCTGGAGAACTACTGTGTGCTGCTTAGTCGCCAAGCACATCCAAGCACCTGTACTGGTGTGCTGTTAGGTGTT